GCTGTCTCGCCGGCAGCAGCTGCCTGCTGCCACACTTAAGAGAGTGTCCCGCTGTTCCTCCTGAATTCTTCATGCTTCTCCCAAAGAGGACAGCGGTGTTTCGGGGCTGCAGAGAGGAACAGCTCTTCTGGAGGAGTCCCCACACAGAACAGGAGGGCCTGAGGAGCCACCTCGGGGGTGCAGATCCGAAGCGTATACTCTTCTCACCTCTGCAGGCTCCAAGAATCGAAGGCTTTACATCCCTTATTGCTAGTGCTCCAGCTGCTTGTGTGGTTCACAGGCGGTGAGCGGCTCAGCAGAGAAGTTAAACGTCAGCTGTTTACACGGATGGCTGCAAGCTACCTCTCTGCTATGGCCAGCCGTGCTCCCAGCCTGGCCCTCTCTTCGGCAGCTTGCGGAGCAGGACAGCTCCGCAGGAAGATGTGCAAAACTGACAACACTCAAATACAGGATCTGGCCAAAAAACAAAGTTGGGGCTTGCAAAACACAACGCAAATCCACCAGGGCGTTTTACTCCAACTAAAATGCACCAGGGTCTAAGACTGGCACCACCTGATCGTCATAACGAACCCAACAGCAGACCTTCCATGACAAAGAGATGAAGAAAATCTTGTGGAAAAAATGATGCAGAGAAAACATCACACTAGGCAGCGACCTGCCGCAGGATCAGGAATTGGGAGCGCGGGTATGGGCACTAGAGGAGCAAATTCAAATATACAGAAAGCCTGATCCTGAGCAGATGCTGAGAGAGAAAAAGAGGCGGGGGGGGAAAAAAGCACTATTTTGACAACACCTACGTAACTTTTCACGGCAAAGTATTACTTGAATTGTTACTGCTTGGTCGCCTTTTAGACAGTTGAAGGCTCAAGTGCAATGGTTGGAGAAGACAGCTATTGGTAAATATGAGCAGGCTCCGATGTACCTGGAGTACCTTACAGGCACCAGCTGGAGCAGTCTTATTCCTTTCAAACATCTCTTCACTCAGGGGAAAAACAAATAAAAATTTAAAAAAAAAAACCCACAAAAACATACTGGCACCTCTTCTTTAGCCCTGTAGAAACAGCACAGCTGCTGTACAAAGAGCTGGGGACCCTGGGCTCATGCATCAGCAGACTGGTGAAGGCAGAAACAGG